TTAAATATCACACGCAATTCAATCAACTGTTAAACTTTGTTAATTGCATTATTTTACATATTATCAAAGTTTCAAACTGCTTATAGCAAATAAAAAATTAAATCATGTTATTTAAATAAATAATTAATGTATACCAGTAGCATATTTGAGTAATAAACATAGTAACTAAAATTCGTGAAATGTTAAAAAAGATTAGCGAGAAAAGCTAAAAATAGAAATTCGAATCAAGTTCCGAAATGGTCATAAGAGTAAGTGCTTAAACATGAATACAGCCAATGCCTTGCATAGTGCGGGTAACCTATTCCTCCAATATTCCGATATTCTTATACGAAATGCGCTAAACCAGGAAAGTTCCTAAACTTTTTGGGTTTGCGGTGCCCTTAATATATATTTTTTTCCGCGGTGCCGATGCCTTTAATCAAGGAAACCTAAACGACATCAACTAGTACAAAATTTAGATCATATTTATATTTATATGGATAAATATATCGGCTAAAAATACATTCTAATAATTCAGTGTCTGCCAATCTGCGTCATTTTTGTGCCCGTGTGCCGCATAACGAAATATCGTCATCCAATGTACCGTGAGATAAAAAATGAAAAAGATACACAATAAAAATCAGTTAAGGCAGTGCCCCCAACCTTTCGCCGCGGACCGGTCAACGTTTGATAATTTTACCGCGGCCCGGTTGATACAATTACACCAAAAAATGAATATAAAGTCATTTAACATATAACTTAAAATAAAATGGAAATAATTAATTGTTCCTTTGGCGGCCTTAAACTTAAACTTAAAATCATTTACTCATTGCGCAACCTTCGTCGGTCGGGATTGGCATCATTTTACGTTAAATCGGCAAGACAACTGGAAATAATCATGTACGTATTATCGAACGTAAGTTATGTGAGTAATATTTATACAGTTTATCTATCTTTATCCCGGACTGTTTGACTGATACTAAATAAACCGAACAAGAAGATGCATGTACAGTGGTACCTCGATATACGAGTGCCCTAATATATGAGTGTTTTGAGATACGAGCGAGCTATATTTTGCTTTGAGATGAGAGCAAGATTTGAGATACGAGGAATCGCATGTACAAACTAGGTTCCAGATAAACGATTTTGTTGACCGGATAGTTTATTACATTCGGTACTCTTGTGAGCTGGATATTATAGACCGCCTAGAAATCACAAAACGAAGAACAGGTCAGTATTATAAATGTTCATCAATAGAATTGTAAAATGGCTACGGTTCACAGCCTCAGTCGTAAATTTGGGACGTCGAAATTCTAAGAATTTCAACTCACCTTGTTCACCAGATTTCATAAACATTTATATCACTGGCACAAGGAAGATATGGACTTTTCGGAATAGTTATTAATTTCTTCAGTTCTTTATTTTTTACACAGAAACTCAGGTATTTATATTCTTCTAGAAGATTTGGTATTGTTTTGGTCTTTGCATACTTTTTTTTGTAGAGAGGAGCACTTAAATAGGGTGAAGTCGTGGTACTGTGTGATTCTTACCGCACAAAAACCTCTCCTCTTCTTCGTCAGCATACAGGACCTATATCACTGTACTCCTCTACAATGCTGATTGTCCTTGCCTGTCTTTTACTTCCCTTGGATCAATTATGTCAGTGCTAACCTCCACTGCCACTGTCCTCGAAGGCCCTCTGCAGCCCCCGCTCGTCTTCTTCTTTAATCAGTAGCACCACTGTTATGTATGCTACTACAATCTCTCAGCTCTCCACGCTCTTCAGCATTTCGCTGACAAAATTTTCTGGCTCTAGCAAGACTCCCAATTCTGCTTCTACCTCGTGTTTCCTTGTATGCCATTTGCAGCACCTAAACTTTACATACTAGTAGTCTTAATTTTGTTAAAATTAGAGAAGTGAGTTTCAAAATGTATGTTACTAAAGCCTCCTCTAAAAATTATATAATCTTCGCGTGTTCCCTTGTTTGTTTGTTTTTTTTTTCATATGTAATGAGCGGGAGAGTGACTTCCAATCCGGACTGATCGAATTATAGATCCGCTTGACTATGGGTCTTGGTACGATATTTGAGTGATTTCGCAATTCGAGTGAACAAAATTTTCCATTTTTAAAACGTCCGATGAAAAAAATCCCTGAATTCCAAAAAATAGTTCTGCAAAACGCACCTTGAGATTTTGTTTTTACTCAGAAAACTGTGAGGATCTGCAACGGAAAATTATCGAAAAAAACTGTGTTTAATAAAATTATTTATTAATATGAAAATTCCATTTTTTAATTTGACCTAAAAATATGAATTGGGGATAAATTAAAAAAAAAAGATCACTCACTGGATACGTGTAATAATATTTTCAAATAATAATTGGGATTTATGTAATCTCAAACAAATAATAAAATAAAAATAAATAAACTAAAGAAATTTCTAATAAATGTATAATTGGGTTTTAGATTACTACAGTTACTCTTTAGTTATTTTATATTGTCTTATTTCTATCTCACTCTGTTCATAAAGAAGTTACATAATTTAATTACATGGCTTTTTGGTATCCATTTTTCAATTGAAATTTTATGAAGAGTTGCAATTAATCATTGAAGCTTTCATTTTAAATATGTCTAAATTATTTTGTTTAAATTTAGTTTAATAATCAGTATATTTATTGAATACATTAAATATGAATAATATATTTCTGCGTGGAATTTAGTTTATTTAATTAATTTATTGATGATACTATTAAATATAAACTATATTTTTGTTACTCATATAGTTAAGTTGTAACATTCTCTATATAATGATTTTATTATAATAATAATAAACTTTTTTGCAGCAGTCATCTATAAAAATAAACATTTCATTTCCATAATAATAAAACAAAAGAGCTAGGACAGAAAGACCTTTGTAGAAGATCATTTTTTTTTAATTTTCTTGCTATATGTTTTTTATTTACTCTTTGCCAGCATTTGGCAGTTTGTAAATAAAGAAAAATATATATAAAAGTAAGTATGTATTGTGATTTGTTACAATAAATGTTATTATTATTACAAAAGAGCTATAGACCATAGATCTTTCTGCCCTAACTTAGACTGATATTAAATTCGCTTCATCCTTGTAATAAATATTGTGCTGCGGATGTAAGATATAAGAAGTGCTGAGAGGTATGATCGAGTTTGTGCAGACATCATATACCTGCTGTTCATCTGCTCCCAAAAATAATGGAATGCCGTCGCATATAGATTATATCGACGAAAAGAAAACAAGATTGAAACAAGTGGCCATCGCGAAGACGCGAGGCGGTCAGTGGGCCTATACATATTTCAAAATTGCAACGCCTTCGAAAATGTTTTTATATGATAGAACGATTACGCCGATGCACGCCACAATAAATGGATTGAGAAGTGAAAGCAAATTGAATACGTCGAGACGATTATTAAACAGCAGGAACTTTAATTGAAGGATATAGTCTGCCGTGGTTGCACAAAAAAAAAGTTGCAAATTTATCATTCAAATTTATTATTTAATAGGTTTTATCCTGTTTCTGACATTCATCCTACTACATGTTGAATAATATTTTAATTTTTAAGCGATTATTATCATTGTAAAAATAAGCATTAATTAAAAAACAGTAACCAATACCAATAGGTTAGAAAGACATACAAACAAAACGTGACATTACTTTATTCATCATCATAGTCTCCTTCAAGAGTGATACATTCATTCCAACGCTTCTCTAACATTTCTATACTTCTCTTGTAGAACGATCCCTTCTTCATTGGAGCCAAATCTATTTCTCCTTGAGCATTCTTTTTAGGTCTGCAAACACGTAGTAGTCGCTGGGAGTCAGATCTGGATAATACAGTGGATGGGGAAGCAATTTTACCATCGTTTTGATCGACTTGTGGCATGGTCCATTATCTTGGTGAAAGAGCACATTTTTCTTCTTCAGTTGTGGTCGTTTTCGGAATTTCTTCTGTCAAACTCTCATGATCAAATGTTCATGCAAAATGCATTCTGATATCTTCAGGGTGTTAGCTATCTCACGATCTACCAAAACCATTTTGTGGACCAGAGCGTTCAGCATCATTTACGAGCGTGTTTAAAATCAGCAAACCATTTCTCTACCATTTGTCTTGACGAAGATGAGTCCCCATATCACTTAGCAAGCCATTACTTTGCTTGAACTGTATTTTATTCCATCAAAAATCAATGTTTTATTAAAACATGAAATTCAAATTTTTCCTTTTTTGAAAACTATAAACGTTGCGTCAATAAAACCACTGTAACTTGTGAAATAAACGTCAGGTTGCCATGAACAATCATATAGATTTGTCGATATGAGGTGCCATCTATATGTCATCTTACGAACTTATTGAGTGTGGTGTTAAATAATTGTCGCGTATCCATCAAATTCTATCTATAAATGTACAATTATGTCTAAGATCAAAGACCATTTTGTACAAATTAATTATAAATTGTATCAACCTTGTATCTATAAAGTCACCAAGTTGGCATAAAATTCCAGTCATTAAAAAGTACTGGAAAAATTGGAGCACGGAGAAGTATTAACAATAGTAAAAACATTGAAAAATGTAAATCAATAATAATTAAACGCGACGCAAGATTTTGAATTTATATTTGACGAGAATTAAAAGGCGTAGATAAAAGATAATTAGGTTGCAGAAAAATACTTACATGGACAAATATTCACATTTAAATTTTTCATTTTAATGGTCCATGTGGTCAAAGGTTGGCGACCATTGGTCTAAATATAAAATAAATATACACTCGTGTGTTTTAAGTTCGGAAAGATTAGTTTACTTGGGAAACTTTCTATTAATGTTTTTTTATTAAATAAATATTGTGTGATTGTTACATTTATTTTTAATTATTAGTATTACTTTAATATATTTTATACACAATTATTAAGTACAATATTATAAATTCGTTATTTGTAATTCATACTTTGTAAATGTAAATATTTATATAAATTGTAAGGTCACTTAAAAAATATAAGTAAATAATGAAGTAGATAAAATAAAGTAAAGCATAACAAAAATAATGTTTGTTATTGCATGGAGAGTTCAAAAGTCGATTAATTATTTATAATAGGCGGGCGAAGCGGCAAATTGTTGTTGACTGTTGTCGACACGAACGGAAGTCGAATTGGATGCAGCAGCCGTGAGGAGGCAACGACACAAGAAGGAGCCGCCGCGCGCCGACGATTCAAGTGTGCAGCATTGAAATTGGCAAGGGCTAATCATTGAAAGCGCTGTGCAATCATCGCCATCGAGGACAACTACAAAATAACTAGCCTTGAACTTGACGGAAAGGAACGACTCCAGGTCAACTAACTCGCACACTCACACACACACAAAGAGGCAATTACAAAGCTCGACGTCCACCAGATTGATGGTAAGCCTAATACGGGGATTTTAATATTTCAAGATTAACTTATTCGTCGTCATCGGTGACCTCGACTTTGGCAGATCCTGTGATGTCCAGCAGCTCTTTGGAGCTGAACGTCGCTACGATTTTCTGCTCTCCCGTCATCTTAGGGACTATATGGGTTGTCACTTTAACCATCGCCCCAGGTTTTACGTCCTGGTACGGAAGGATCTGGTTTCGCAGCAACGTCGGTCCGGCCAAATTGAATTTGCATCTGGTGAGAATCTTCTTCAACGGATTTCGGAACTTCAACGTGATTTTCGTCGCTTTTCCAATTGGAATCTCTGCCGGTATCTGATCATCGCAAATTATTACATGTTTTCCACTTTATAATAACAATAAGAGATAACTTACTTCTATGTCGATGTTGGGTTTCGTCACCTGGAAATCGTCTTCATCGGCCCAGGTTTGTCTAGTCTCCTCCACCGTTGCCACGGCGTATAACTTCAATATGCAATACTCCACCAATTTTTCCAGGTACTCGTCGGCCTTTACCACCATCTTCAGATGCTCAGCTAAAATAAATAAATTTTTGTTTCGAAAAATATAAATATTTCTATATTTCTGTATATGTGTTTTTTGTTCGACTTATTATTATTTTATAATTATTTCTTCATAATAAAATATTAAGTATACAATAACGTTCATTAGATTAATCGGTATTCAAATAAAAATGGATAAAGTTAATTTAAGACAATTTAATTTCTTCTGTAAAAAATTCAATAAATTATTACCTTTTTACTATTGCAAGTTTTTCTGCCGTATGTCCCGCATAAATTGATGCAATTTAAAAAAATGATATACTGTAAGTATACAATAATTATCAATAATACTTTGAAACTCAATTATATTCGATTATATAGCAATGCATTTTTAAAACCAATCTTCAAACATATTTTGAGTCAATCAATTTTTTTTTAATATTTTCCTTACAGATAAATTAGTTCTCATTTTTATCATTAATTTGTTTAATAGATTGCTACGTATATAAGGTTATACGTGTTTTAGAAGCTTTTATTAACCATTTAGTTTTGTTTTAAAGAAACTATCCTTATAAAATTGAATTATATAGAAACATCGTTATAAGAGGGCAATCGCAATTTTTGTTCCGCATTATGCGTTATGCGAGGGTCTATTGCAACCTAATTATTATAAATTCATTATAAAAAAGAGATAAACCAAGTTACTGATATTCTCCAAATTTCAGGAACAATCTAAGTATATGTTTATTTTGATTGTTTCTAATGTATTGCACTTACTTGATTTTGGTCCCATTTTGAATTTTCCTTCAGCTTTCTTGATGACGTGTGCCTTTACTCCCGTGTAAAAAATGCTACCCGCCGAAAGGACAGCCTTTATATTTCTCACTTGATCGCTGTTGTTCTTAATATTAACAACAACCGAGAAACTCTCACCGATTTTGATCGTCTCCAACTCTTGCAATTCAAACTTCAGATCCTCCAGGCCTGGATCAGGTAAAGCGTAAAAGCTTTTAGCCAATTCCGTACACCTAACCGCATTGTAAAGAGATAATCTCTCGGCCGGAGTACCCTCCTTTGCTTTATATTGATTCGTAATTTCTTGTCTATCTTTGTCACCGTTCGGATCGAAGATGTACGGTTGCTTGGTCAAAATCATCCGACCGATGTGATACTTGTTGCAGTAGATCTTGGTGTAACCCAGATCGCTTTTCGGATCCACCTTCCATCGCATCAAATCGGCGTTCACCGAGGCAATCATGAAGCCGATATCATAATTGAAACCAACTTGACCTTTCTTGATGGCCTCCAGAGATGCAGGGCCGCATTGATAGAACCCTGAAGAGGTCTCTTGTGGAGTGGCATCGATTGCTTGCCAGCCTCCGTAGCCAATAGGTAAATCTGGCCTCGCCATCCAAACGTCGTTCCAAACGTGGTAATTCCAAATAGAGTCTTCGCCCATGGGATTCAGAGGGTCGTAATCCATTTCTTCGTTAGATTCGTTATAATATTTGTCAACTGTTAGAGTGGCGTTGGCATCGTGAGCCGATACCAAATTGGAAACGACTCTTGATGGGATTCCCAAAGCTCTGCAAACTAAATGAAACAAATTGTCGGTGTATCTCATATATTTGTTCTTAATAGTTTTACTCACTGGTTGTTGCAACGCCGGAGAATACCCAGCATTGGCCATAATTCACTGGATGTTGGTTATCTAAATACTCTTGCATAATATCTACGGATCCTGTCCAAGAAGATGGAGCTGTTCCGTCTTCGTACTCACCATCCCAACGGCCGACCAAAATACCATCATCATCATTACTATTTACCATTTTTGAAATACACCTGGTCGTCTTAATAGGATCACCTCGACTGAAACGAAACCATGTAATATTTCTTTTTTAACTTAGTTGCCAATAATTCGTACCTGGCATCTGGTAGCTCGGATAATGCAAACATGAGCATGGCAGATGGCAAGACGCATCCATCGAATTGTCCAAAAACCCATTCACGGCCTCTGCTGGACCCCCAAGGCCCAACCCAGATTTTACCAACATCCGTCAAAACGTATTCGTCGAGCAACCTTTCATCGGGCATGTAAACCAAATCATCTAAACAAAAATAACATAATTGCTTTTGCGATTATAAATAATAATACATTTTGTATTTACGGCTATTCCACGGATTGAAAAGTATATAAATTTCACTCTCATAATCAAACATAGTAGGCGGCAGTGTCGAATTCGCGCGGCTCGTTTCCACCTGCAAAGACCAAATGCCAACTGGACATTGCACCGGGGCAGAAACCTGCGAATCGAATCATTGATTACAAACTCAATATTATCATATTAAAAAGCAAATTTACTTCAAGAGTGATACTGTCTGCTGATCTTCCCAAGAATCCTGCGTACCAATTATTATGATCTTCTGGGTCGGTGCGCTTTGGGTCAAGACGAATTGAAACTTTCGTTCCCTTAATCGGATTCGGATTCTTGCCTGAAAACAAATGAAACTGTAATTCCTCAAACAATCAACTCCAACTCTTACCAAAACTGAAGATCAATTTAACGACGTCCATGTCGTCTTCAAAGTTCCTCCCGCTGAACCTAATGGCCATTGTGAACTTGAGCCCTCTGCGGAAGATTGCGATGGGGTTCTCCTCATCGTGGACCAACTCGAATTTATCGGTTTTGTGAGACGTAGAGTTTTCCTTCGGGTACAGATACACCAGTTCAATATCTAGATTTTCAGGCATTTTGAAGAGAACGTCCGTCTAAATTGAGCAAGTTAACTGCTGGAACTGTTCGTGACCACATCAACTGCTTGCCTTTATATAGGAAACATGCATCGAGTATTACCTACATTTCTGAGATATCAAGAAACCAAATGTTATTTCCTGCAAAAAACAGTTTCATTTCCTTTGACCCGTTATCAACAAAAAACGACCACACAAAAAAACAAATTCAATTGCCATTGGAACGCGATAACCATTATAAACAACTCCTTTTTTTAATTGCAATTTTTATCTGGAACTGTTGAAAGTTTCACTTGTAATAAATATTGTATTTGTATTAAATAAAGTATCATCACAATTGGAGATTTCTGAAAGTTATTCAATCAAATATAAAATGATTATTTAATAATTTACATTGCTAATATTCCTTACACGTGTCAAGATAATAATGTAAAGGAAATCAAGAACCACAACATGCACTTAGTGCTGAACTGCAAGATACTTAATGAGAAAAATAAAACAATGTTTCAATTTCTTTCAGGAATTATTTCTTATTTTATTTATTTAAATTATAAACTATTATAAATTAATAAAAGTAAAACATATAATAAAATTATTAATATTAGAAAGAGAAAATATTCCGCGACGGTCACTCAAATCATAGGGCTAAAAGCGCTATAGCCCTGGGGCGGCAATTTTTCTTCCCCTTCCGTTTTGAAAATTATTCTTAGAAACCCACGGCCACCAAATTTCTATTTAGCACTAAATATCCAAATAAATATCTTTCATATAACCTCTATAAATATAAAATTATCATAAAAATCAGGTAGATAAAGTAATAATGACAACAACAACATTTTTATATTATGAAATTTAAAATCAAGTAAACTTAAAACATTTAAGAAACCAAATTATAATATTCATACTTTTTTCATTAAATCTCAATTGATATCGAGCAATTTATTCAACATAAAAACATAGCACGCTTTTTATTTTACTATTTATAATTACATTTAATTCTGAAGTAAAATATTAGTGAACAATATTCAAAATAATTATAATACAATTTATTTATTTTCATTTTTTTATTGGTCCATTTTTGCTAACTTTTGTTTATTGTATAAGAATGATCAGAAAGCAATACACATACAAAGTGTTAATGAATATAATACAATACACACAAATTGGGTATGCCCCTAATATTGCGTTACATATAGGAGATTCACTTAAATGTTGCGTATCATGTGTTGACTTGTCTTGTCAGTATATCCAAGGCTACAAAGGACGAGTGCGTCTGGAATTTTATAGACTTATTTTGAAATACATATTTTTTTAATACATAAATTATATGTTTAAATACTGTACAATTATTTAGCCCTTTTAATATAGGTTAAGACCTTAAAGGATTAGCTCGCTCTCTAGATCAGTGTCTGTCAAACTTTTACCTCACGGCACACTAGAAAAAGGAGCATACCACAATAAAAATTTCAATATAATCAAAAAAATAAATAAATTCATCAAAAACATTATTTTATCAAACATGCAATAAGATAATAATTTTATTAGTGAGAAGGATGCAATTGATTTTGAGAAAAAATTAAATTAAAATGTTCTTCCGTTAATTCAACCACCAATTTTTATAAATTCAAATTCAGAATCTATTTTTCCTATCGAGAGCCATCGCACTTCTGTATGAAGCATTAAACAATTAAAATCAGAATCCATTGTTTCACATAGGGATACAAAAAGACTGCAATATAGGGAATTAGATTTTATGTAATACCCATCAGGTAAAGATTTTGACACCAATAATTCGCGGTCATGCAATGTACAATTTTCATTTGACATAATTTTGCACAAAGCCTTTTGTCGACATTACATGGATGGAGCAAACGCTAATACAAGTTTGTCACAGCATCTCTCTCAAGATGACATTTTGTTTAAAAGGTTAAAGCCATCTTCTCCTGTTGATCTCTCCTTGAATTCACAACAAAAAAAACTGGCTTATAATTTTAAAACCTTTGATCATTCTTTAAAAGGAAATTAGTTGAGCTTTGTTACTGATGTCCGTTCTTTCATAGATTTGTAAGGCCTACGAGTGTTTGAGTTCATTTTTTGCTTCAACTTTAGGAGCCGAATATCTCGCGGCACACAGTTTGACAGTCATCAAATTTTCAATTAAGAAAAATTACCAGTTAACCGATTTTTTAAATATTTACCAGTAAAACAATGTCTGTAATTTTGTATACCGTTTTTTTCAAAGATTCAAATTAAATCTGTTTATTAAGGGAAAATTTTAACGCCTATACGAAAACAATTAAATTTTGTAGTATTACACAAAGGAATGCAGGTACTGTTAGAGAGTTACAGTGAATAATTAATGTTTAAGATATCACATAATTAATGTAAATCTTATGCATTTTTTTGTTAACTATTATTATATAAATATGATTTTTGAAGTATAACTTGTTATAAAAAATAATATATTCAACGTATATCATTTTTGTGTTACTATATTTATATTATATTATACTAACAAAATTAGTCTAACAAAAGTTTGTTATTTTTAATTTTCATCATTTTTTAATTTATCTACATAAATTTCATTTATTTCAATACATTTCTGAAGTCGGTAGAGCCACTCTTCAAAACATTTCTCGAGATCGACTTTTTGGATATTTTCAAATTTTAATTAATGATCTCTTCATTGGTACTGAAGACAATTTCCTTCATTTTTTTCCTTAATTTTCGGAAACAGCCAGAAATCACAAGGCGGTAGGTCGGTAGAATAAGGTGCTGGGCGAATTTCGTTGATGCAAGAAAGTTGTTGGTTATTTTAGTAGTGCGAGAGAGTGTAAAAAGTAGCGACAAAGTTCCCATTTTTTCTGGTTTTCCAACAAATGTTTGAAAACTTGTGATAAACAAGTTTCTGTGTACCACATAGCAATTACCGTCTAACCAGTTTCCAATAAGATAGCAGCTACCACTTTTTCACTGGTAAAGTAAATCTACATCATAACTTTTGTTGTCTTGCTCTGCTGCTTGATTTCCGGGTCGAACTTATAGAACCAAGATTCATCACCAGTTTGCTAGAGTTTCCAAATTTTTCCAATAAATATTGGAAAAAACGAACACGCGTCTCTTTTTGGTCGTAATTTTAAAATCGTGGAACCCATCGAGCGGATTTCTTCGTGTAGCCCAAGTGATGACTTAATATTTACGATCAAGCCCAATTCATTACCTACCATTTCCTATATTCTTGCTTCTTCGTCAATTTTTACCTTCTCCAGAGCTACATTTGTATCGTCGGTCGAAGATTTAGAGGTTCCTCCTCGGTCTGGAATCTTTGAAACCACTTGGAAATAGTCACAAGGGATAGTGCATTCACTCTATATATATTTTAGCATTCCAGGAAAATTTACATAGGCTTGAGTTGACGTCGAAATCCGAAGAGAATGGCAAAAAAAAATTCTTGCTATGTTAGTGGTGAAATTTCTACCGACCTTACATCACTAATATTGTGGTAATTCGTATCCATTCTTCCTGAAATTTGACATGAAATATCGTTAGACTTTAACAAATGAATTAACGTCTACTTAGAAAAATTAGAAGATCTATTTATTTTGTTTCTCACTTCTTTTACATTAAAATAGATTTTACATTATTGCTAGATTGCATATTTAAGTCAATAGTTTTCATCGAAGACTTTGACTTTAGCCGAACCCGTGATGTCGAGCAGTTCTTTGGAACTGAACGTTGCGACGATCTTCTGTTCCCCTGGAACCAACGGAATTATATTGATTGCGATTTTGACCATCACTCCCGGTTTAACGTTTCTGTAATGTAGAATCTGGTTGCGCAACAACGTCGGTCCAGACAAATTGAACTTGCATTTGGTGAGGACCTGTTGCAACGGATTACGAAACGACATCGTTATTTTCGTCGCTGCGTTAATCTGAACTCCATCTGGCAACTAATTTTCGTACATAATATAAAAAAAAAATATTGGTGCAGGACAGAACTTACGTTTATGTTGATTTTGGGTTTTTGTACTTGGAAATCATCCTCGTCGGCCCAAACTTGTCCGGTTTCCACGATAGTTGCCACAGCATATAATTTCAAGATGCAATACTCCACCAACTTGTCTAGATATTCCTCAGACGTTACCACCATTCTCAATACCTCCGCTAAAATAATTTCAAAAGTAAATTATATCAACTTAAAATTGATCAAATGTTTGTTAGTTCTTAATTTTTAATCAAATTTGAGTATGGATTATGTATAGTTTAGATTTCTAATAATTATCGAGTACTCGATAAATTCGGTTTTTAGAAAAAAAATATATTTTCTGTGTTCAAGTGGGAATTAATCTTAATTATTAGATAGATAGAATAGATGTTCCGAATACAAATATTGTTTTGTTACAATTATCCTTACTTGATTTTGGTTTTATCCTGAATTCGCCTTCAGACTTCTTGATAACATGTGCCCTCACACCCGTATAAAAAATGCTACCGGCCGACATAAGTGTTTTGACAGTTCTTACTTGATCGCTCACGTTTTTGATATTAAGAATAAGCGCAAAACTCTCCCCGATGTTGATCTTCTCCAGTTCCTGCAATTCGAACTCAACATCTTCCGAGTTAGAATGCGATAATGAGTGAACGTTATTGGCAAAACGGGAACACCTAACAGCTTTATTAAGAAAATATCTTTCGGCTGGTGTGCCTTCCTTAGCTTTATACTGATTCGTGATCTCTTGTCGATCTTTATCGCCGTTTGCATCGAAGATGTGCGGCTGCTTGGTCAAAATCATTCGTCCGATGTGATACTTGTTGCAATGAATCTGAGTAAATCCTAAATCGCTCATTGGATCAATTTTCCAACGCATCAGATCAGCATTCACTGAAGCGATCATAAAACCGATATCATAATTGAAACCGACCTGGCCCTTCTTGATGGCTTCTAGAGACGCTGGACCGCATTGGTAGAACCCCGAAGATATCTCTTGAGGAGTGGCATCGATTGCTTGCCAACCACCGTAACCAATGGGTAGATCCGGCCTCGCCATCCATACGTCGCTCCAAACGTGGTAATTCCAAACGGAATCTTCGCCCGTTGGATTCAAAGGGTCGAAATTCAATTCTTCGTTAGATAGATCGTAATATTTATCCACGCTTAGAGTAGCGTTCGCATCGTGGGCAGAAACCAAATTTGAAATAACCCTCGAAGGAATTCCCAAAGCTCTGCAAACTAAATTAAAACAATTTTGGAGTAATTCAAATTTTCAGTTTAATTACTAGTTGTAACGACCCCAGAGAAAACCCAGCATTGGCCGTAATTCACAGAACGATGTTTGTCCAAGTATTTTTGCAGAATTTCAACGGATCCTGTCCAAGAGGAAGGTGCTGTACCACCATCATAGTCACCATCCCAACGACCAACCAAAATACCATTATCGTCATTACTGTTTACCATTTTGGAAATGCATCTGGTCACTTTAATTGGATCTCCACGGCTTTAATGGGAAAACAGAACATATAATAAATATGCTAATTTAGCTATTATTAACAATATAATAGAAACATTGTATGATAGTATGTAAAATGTTGTAACAAGATATTTATATTTAGCGGATCCTGCACGACAGTGCTCCCCAACCTATTTATCACCCCAGTCCGGTCATCGTTTGGTAATTTTACCGCGGCCCTCTAAGAAGAGGGGGGTCGTTGATACAGTTACACTAAAAAAATATAAAGTGATTTAACATTTAACTCACTAGTTAAAGTGAGTTAAAATAAAATGAAACGACAGTACGACATTCATTTAAGACATTTAAATTCTTCAGTTCAATGAGAGACATATAATAATAGTTATGGCAATGAAAGATTCATACAACTCAAATATATTATAATCATTCTCTTTATTCCAAAATTGTATAGGAGTGAGCAAAAATTTGACAATATCCTAAAAGTGCGTCATGAATACGTAAAATTCTGATGTTAATTATCTGCTAGTAACATCAACATTAAGTAATATACAGCCAGATACACATAAAGTTTTTTAATTTCATGTTTTTAAGAATTTACTGGTATTTGTTGTCAAAATTTACCGGAACCTGAATTGAGAGCTATTTCTTTTAAATCAAAGTCCAAATTAAATCAATATTTATATCATTAGTGTAACTACATTACATACAACATAAAATCATATATAATTACAATAATACATGAAATATTATGCTTGATGTGATTGAAATGTTAAAATAATCAGACACATATTGAAATGCATGTTCAAAATAGTTGACGATATGTTTCGCCAATATATTTTAAAGCTTTTTCGAACAACTGTGAAAATTCTATATAGATTTTGTCAAGTTTGAGTCAAAACGAATTATCGAAGAATGTACCATGTACTTATATCTATAAATATTAATTCTTACCTTGCCGTAGGTAATTCCGATGAATTGAACATGAGCATGATAGCAGGCAAAACGCATCCATAGAACTGACCAAATACCCATTCACGTCCTCTGCAAGAACCCCAGGGGCCTATCCAAATTTTCCCCACATCAGACAATACGTATTCATCTAGCAATTCGCCTTGAGGCATGTAAACCAAATCATCTGCACAAAACATGTTAGTTAACTGTTACATAAATTAAAAACACATGTTTTAATTACGCTGATTCCAGGGATTGAAGAGAATGTAAATTTCACTTTCATAATCAAAAGTAGACGGCGGCAGCGTAGAATAAACGCGGCTTGTTTCCACCTGCAAAAACCAATTACCAACTGGACAATGCACAGATGCAGAAACCTGCGAACAAAATCATTTACTATAATAAAATTAAATATCTGAAAACAAATTACTTCTAGCGTAAACAAGTCTCCTGATCTCTCTAAGAATCCTGCGTACCAATTGTTATGATGTTCAAAGTCGGTGCTTTTCGGGTCCAAGCGAATGGTCACTTTCGTACCTTTAATCGCATTCGGATTCGGGCCTGAAATGTGTTCAATGGAAGTAATTCTATATTATTAATCATATCTCGATTGTTACCGAAACTGAAGATAAGTTTAACAATGTCCCTTTCATCCTCGTAATTCCTTTCACTGAACCTTATGGCAATGGTAAATTTAAGACCTCTTCGTAAGACGGCAATGGGATTCTCCTCATCACGTACCAGGTCGAATTTATCTGTTTTATGAGATGTTGAGTTCTCTTTCGGGAATAAACACACCAAGTCTACCTTTAAATTGTGCTTCATTTTGTTCTTTACGACCTGGTATAAATGACTGAAAATAAGCCAACGGAGTACTGTTTATATACGTTTATGGAATTATATCATAACGATAAAATAATGTTACAGTTACTATATCCTGTAAAAAAAAGTTCCGTTTCCTCCACTATCAATAAGAAAGCAGATAAATCGGAATTGAATTTAAATGCAATGGATACACTATTATTAAAGAAAAATATCTATGAGTAAATTTAATGTATTTATGTTTACGAAAAACCAAAATACACTCAGTGAATTAGTTTCGCCAATTTCTTTTGAATATCTTAAAAATATATACTTTATTTGAATAATACTAATTAAAAAAAAACATATTTATAACTCTTTGTTATTTGACATGTCTTGTCAACTATTACGAAATTTATTACGACCAACTATTGGCATATGTCACATAAGGCAAGTAAATATATAAAAAACTTAAGATAGAAGACTTAAATAAATACATAATTAACATTGATTTTTCACTTTAGAAGATTGTCATTGAATAAAATTGACAGTATAGAAATACATAGTAACGTAATATTTATTATATATGAAAATCGTTTGGCGTAGAAAATATAATTTACGTCTTATACATCTTTTCCTTAATTTTGTGCTCTAATTTTATTTTAATTATATAAACGAAAATATATAGAAAAGTAAGTTGGTGAAATGGTCATGGTCGATACCCTTTGAACGGTGGTCCAATTTAACTAATTAACAGTGTGTAGATTGTATACATCTAATCAACCCTTTTGTTATTAAGCAAAGCACACTGTACAAATCAATCCTAGTTTCCGCAAGTAACCACAACAACCACAATCAACGAACTTGCAAAAAAGAAGTGCGCAAAAATAATTATGAAATTGATACATAATGCAGTCTCATTTAAATATAATTCACTCATAATTACCAAATTCTGTTTAATGTTTCATTGCTACACTTTTCTGCAAAACGATAAAATATATCTTATATATCAAATACATACAATTTAGTTTTAATATTTTTTAAAAAGTTATGAAGAAAATTGAAAAGTAAACATTAAAACAATTATAAAAAAGTATTATAGGAATAACACTTGAATCATTGAGAAATGTTATTTCTATCTTAAAAACAAATAGAAAAGAAAAATCTACTTAGAAAAACAGTTCACATGGATATGAATAATAAATTAAATTGGTAGTATCATAAATTTATTGTCCCGCTGACAGAGCAAAACTTAAATTTCAAAATATTTTGTTATTTATTTTGACAATCCAGTGACCCGCTATAACCTCGAAATCAAAATAAACAAATCCGAAAATTATCTGTCGTCTGAAAATTTTGAAAATTCCCGTTCTATTCTTTTTAAAATTTCCGAAGATGAGTCTGAACATGGACCTGCTGCCCAACGAGAGTGAAATTAAGGAGCATCTGAAAAACCTATCAGAGGTATGATTATAATATCGATATCGATTTTAACTCATTCATTTAATTTCAGGAGTTTGACAGTTTAGGATTACCATCGATAAATGTGAACGTCGATGTTTTGGAACAACTGATGAATAGTATTTATGGGCTGATTCACATGTACAGGAAATCTATAGCTCAAAACAAGGAGCTTGCAATGAAGCAGTCAGCCTTGGTCAATAAAACTCAGAATCTAGAGGTAATCTATTCAATTAGTAAGTATATGAATTAAGGTATGAGTTTGGTATATTTTTAGAAACAAATCGATCAGGTGAATAGTAAACTAGTAACAAAGGAATCTGAGAATGTAATTCTGTCTGAAACTCTCCGGAAGAAAGATTATGATATAGAATCTTTGAAAACTGACAAGACTTTGTTGAGCAAAAATGTTTGTGCTTTGAAGAACTGGAGTGCACAGAATGAGAGGCAATTGAAGCACAAATTGAATTCATTGGAACAAGAGAAGGAGTCATTGAAAATTAAATTGGGTGAAAGCATTGGTGAGTGTATTTATTTTAAATGCAGCAACATATTTTACATTCTTTGTTGCAGGTATATACGCATCCAGAGATGACGCCACGGTAGAGATGTTGCATAAATATAAAGCAAAGGAGGAGATTTACCTGGACACAATAAATAAACTGCAACAGAATAATGAGCAACTGTTGAACGAAGTTTTGTCTTTAAAAGAAGAAGTTATTATCGCTTTATGCAATACTAACACATTGTGATTGTTTTATTTGTATTTTTGTATGGTAATAAAGTATTTTTCTATTAACTTTATGTTTAATTAACAATGACTACATTAACTAAGGGAAATATTAAAGAGGGTTTTATTTCTTCATCATTGCCTCATCCTGTGTTGTCATCTGACCCAATTTTTTGCCAATGCGATCATGGATATCCAGGAATTTGGCAACACACCTGTCCAAGCAGACAGCCTCTCCTTTGGCAAGTTCACTCTCACTGTATGCTGGTGGAATGCACTTCTTGTAGCAGGTGGTTGTAAGCCTGTTGTACAGATCAGCCATCATTTCAATTTCCAACTCCTGGATGAGTTGCAACTTCTGGGCGTCCAATTGAGCCATTTCTCTTATTTATTGATTACTTAGTTTGTGAATTTCCTGCTACTTGGTTCGTATTCGCCTGTATTCGATTGACGAATGCGCTCTCTCACTTTCATATGCTCGTACCGCTGCTTATCAATGCTCCTCTTCGATAGGTAGAATGCGTAAAGACCGCCCGCAGTAATGAATGCCCTAGCAACGATAAACAAAAGTAAGGTTAGGTCGGTTCATTATTTAAACATTATCTGATTTATGAATGAAATGTGTGTATGTGTAATACTCACCAACTAATTCCAATTTTCGCGCTTTTCGTCAATTTCATTCTTTGCCTATCTATGGTATTAAGCAATATTACATGCTCAAGGGAGAAGGCACGATTCTTAGAACTTAACCCAGAAACGATAGAGCACAGAGAAATGTCATGTACGTTTGCAAGTTGGGTTGCAGATCTTAATATTTATCCGTGCATGTTAACTTGATCATATAAAATAGACCGATATTTTAGTTGTACCTTGTTTCATCCGTTATAACAGTTTACTTTCTATAATTATTTTGATGTAAAACAATTAATTTGAATACAGTGATAACTTGGTTAACGAACCCCCGCTCGTTTACAGCGAAGTCGATAAATAATGTGGCACTGCGCTTGCGCAGGTCAACGAAAACCCGTTATAGACAGTCTATAAACAAGTGTCCTATGTGCTGTATGTGTTATATTTATGTATTAGTACATAAGTTAAAACGATGTCTAGTAAGCGTAAAGTCATATCTTTGGAACTTAAAATGCAAATCATCAGAAGGGTAGAAGCAGGCGAAAGGAAGAGTCATGTGGCACAATCATTGGGTTTGGCACAGTCCACCATAAAAACTATTCTGAATCAAGCAGAGAAGGTAAAGGATTCGGTGCAGAATTGCTCTGGACACACGGCGTACAAGTTGACACGTACCCGTGGTAGTATTATCGAGAAAATGGAAAAGATGTTGGGAGTTTGGGTCGACGATATGACGCAGCGCAATGCTCCACTCACGCAGACGGTCATTCAGCGTAAAGCGTTAACATTGTTTCATCAGCTTAAAGAGCAGGAATCTGAAAAAACCTCCGAAACTTTTGTAGCTTCGAGGGGTTGGTTCGAGAAATTCAAAAAGCGTGCCACCATACACAGTCTCAGGCGAACGGATGAGGCAGCAAGTGCAGGCGCGATGAAGTTCGTTGCTGATCTGCAAGAGGTGATTGAACGAGGAAGGTATCCACCGAACCTGGTTTTCAATGTGGACGAAAGCGTGATTTACTGGAAACGCCTACCATCTAAGACGGTGATTCCCCATTGTGCTTCCAGGAAAAAACGATTAACGTTGATGATGGGTGCAAACGCGTCCGGAGATATGAAGCTCAAGCCATTGCTCGTGTATCACGCAGAAACCAACAGAAGAGCATGGGTTACCATAGACCTCTTCACTGATTGGTTTCTTAATCAATTTTGTCCGTCCGTCCAACGCTATTGCGCTCAGAGGAATTTGGAACCTAAAGCACTTCTGATATTGGACAACGCGCCGGGTCATCCCTCCAACCTCGGCTCCCTTCAGACTTGTATTCCAGTTGAAGTCATGTTCTTACCACCTAATACCACTTCAATACTGCAACCTATGGATCAAGGCGTTAAAGCTGCTTTAAAAGCGAACTATCTCAAACGCGCTTTCACTCAAATGAGTCAGGCTAAAGATAATGAAGCGATTGCGGAATTCTGGAAGAATTACGATATAACAGATGCAATCACCAATATTAAAGCGGCTTGGAACGAACTCAAATATGAATGTCTGAACAGCGTTTGGCGGGAAGTGTGGTTCAATATTGTTATGAATTGCGAAGCGATAGATAATGAAATTACCGCTGTTTGCACCGATGTTGTAGTATTAGCACTTGCAACGGGATCGAATGAAGTTGACTTAGCCAATGTTCTGGATTTATTGAAGAGTCAAGGAGAGACGCTTACCAACGATGAATTGCTTGAGTTAATGGAGCAGCAAGTAATCAGTTCGGAAAATGATGAAAGGCCTTTGGTTCCCATTAGACCCAAGAAGGAATTGACAGCAACGATCGTGACCAGTTGTCTGAATGAAGTCAGGCATGCTCTTGAAATTCTATCAGAGAACGATCCCGACTTTGCACGAAGTTGTGGTGTAAAAAGGACCGTTCTAGAAGCTCTGAATTGTTACAGCGCAATGATATACAATAAGAAACCGAGATAATAGACATACAATTAACTGGAAGCAAATATATTTATAAATAGTATGTTATATACTACAGTTTATCGTTATCAATCATTATTTATAATGGATTTAATATACTAAGTTTAAAATAATGTTTATTTTTCTTAAACCATCGTTAAATATTTATGTTTAATACATTAACCTGTATAATCCTGAACTGAATTTTACCTATTCTCCTTAAAATTGTTCGAAACCCGAAAACATATTAACTCTCACGTACCTGATTGCCTCATATACCTGTTTTGGAACCAAAATTCTGTTCGAAAAGTGATGCCTGTTTCTGATGCTTGATATCATAAAGTAAATATAACTTTTTTGTACTTTTTTGTGTGTTAGCTAACACAATTTTACCCACTGATATAAAGTGAAACCACTCTTAACGAGTTTAATCCGTTCCAACATTTCCGGATTTTTACTCGTATAGTGAAAGATACACATAATTTGTGTACACAAGTTTTAAAAATGATGTAGAATGCGCGAGTGACGATGAGAAGAGAAGTCCCTCTCATCGTCACTCATGCGAAACGTCGCTCGTTAAGCGAGTCATTTTTCTTAGAATTCATTTTGCTCGTTAAGCGAGGTTCCACTGTACTTTCTTTCAGTATCATTATTACATGTGTGTTGTCACTGTCAACTACTGTCAAATATAAAAGATCCATCTACTGACTAGCAGTATTAGCATAACTTTTCATGTTTCACAGGAATTTGATCTTGATAAACGAGCGCTTTGATATAGGAGTGCTTTGAATTATTATTTTTAATTAATTATTAATTAATCATTAATTACATTATCTTCAAACCACAAAAAAATAAGTGTGCCGTAAGATAAAAAAAAGTTTTAAAACACTGCAATAAAGAGAGGAATCCACCAGGTGGATTAGTTAATAGGTTAATCTAAGATAGTTGAGATATGTTCATTATATCTATTATATTATTTTTTAAAGTACCAATCTTAATTGTTTAACGCAACCTAAGATAAAATAACCAAACAATTTACATTTTAGTAAATATAAACATTTCCCGGAAAATGGTTGAAAACATTAATGTCGAACGAATGAAGCTTACCTGGTAAAATCCAATTAGCTAATTAACTCTATATGTTTTGCTGTGGCATTAGTTATTGTAGATAAACTAGATACTGGTCATCCTTCTGTGATACATATTTAACTCTTCATATGGTCTCTAGTAGAAGTAAAGTGGGGGGTTAATAAAAAGACTAACAGCAATAACTAAATCTCACGATTTATTTTAAAAAATAATGTGAATTATAATTGATCACAACTAGTTTTTTTTTAAATGTTTTTTTTTTCGAGTGATACCTAATTGTACTTTCCTTTTTTCATGGATCAACATTGAATACGATAACACAAACGATAAGATGTATGCAGTTTGAAAGTTATTCGTCGTAACAATTAATTTTGCGACAGTTATGAGCTATCTAAAATATATATCATCATATTTATGGCACACATAGAAAGCATATGTTTGCTGTACTTATTTGCATGGCATTGCTTTGTTCTTCGAAGCTCAACTTCATCAACGAAATTTCTCTCTCCAGGAATTGTTTCTTGCGTTTATTTTCATTTAAATTTATTTAACATTTATGTAATACTAAAACATTCTTGTTTTGTCCGGCCCGGTATCAGCAGACCGCAGGAATAACAGTTCAATAAAAATATCTCACCTATTTCTGATATACAATATAAACTTAATAAATCTCTTAAAATATATATATTTATATTCTGACTAAATACTGTTTCATTATCTTTCTTTATCCATATATAATAGTAATAATCATATAAATACTTGCCCACCAATTCAAATATGTCCAGATTCTTTTTTTATCCAACTTTTATTTATTTACACGGCACGCCTAATTCCCATCTTTCAGATCTAATAAAATACTATAATATATTCCACTATTTGTTCATCAAATCATCTACTAATTAAATATATAT